TCCAATTGCTTTGTGATCTTTTGGACAATAGTTTCCCTGTTATTAGTTGTTAGTTAATCGTATTTAGTAAAGGTAATTACGGTCAACAGTGGCTTTTAAATAAAGCCACGAAATTTTAATTTTTTTTTTTAGCGATCCGTCACTTTAAATAGTGACAGATCGCTTTTTTTTATTTTTTTTAGCAATCTGTCGCTTTAAATAGTGACAGATCGCTTTTTTAATTTGATTTTTTCCGTTGTTATTTAATAGCAACGGATAATTTTTTTTTAAAAAAAAAATTATGTGGACTCTTATTTAAAGTCCCAAAATTTTTAAGGCTCGCGAGCCTACTTTAAGGCTCAAGCCTTGTGAGCTAGACCTTAGTTGAGCTTGGCTCGCGAGCCTATGAGCCTATAATATCAGGTTCAGCTCGACTTGGATCGGCTCAGCTCACTAGGCTCGCGAGCCTTAAGGTCTATGAGGAGCTTTATCACTGATCATAAATTCGATCATGTATAATCTATATAAAATTTTTTTATATATAATTCCTAATTTATTGATAAAAGTAATAATACACAGATAAGCAATCTATCAAATAAATTTTTTTTTATTGTCACATCTTTCCTACCACTGCTATCTATTTTATATCATTACCATTGTATTTATCACTGTCATTATCTTCACATTTTCATCTCCGTCATCATTACTATTGTCTTTTATCACATTATTTTTGTTACCATTATTGTATAATTAAATAAATAAAAACTTTTATTTTCTGATCTATATTATAATTTTATTATTTTTTTTATTTATTTTAAATAATTTTATTGCTGTTGCCTCTATGTCACTATTGCTATTATTCTTACTATCACCATTACTATTATCTTTACTATTGTTATTATCATTTGTCAATATCACTATTATCTTTTGTCACTGTCACTATTGATAGCCTATAAAAAATAATTTCAATTTACAACATAGATAATCTATTTAAAAGGTATGACAATTAATTAAAACTTTAATGAAAAATATTATTACAAAAGAAAAAGCAAAAACATTTGACTATTAGTCAAGAGATAAAAAAAGAAATATATCTTTATGCTAAATAAAATCTTGACAAATCTCATAATAAAATTTCAAACCATTTCAACACTAAATATACTGACTTGTCTTTAAAATATTTTACCATTTCAAAAATACTTAAGGATAAAGAAAAACAGAAGAATCTTACATCAACTGAAAATTTTATAAAAGTTTTTAAAAAATGTTCAGTAAAATTTTCTCACTTAGAAAAAGCTATTGGTCTTTAGATAAGTCAAGTATCAGCTGGTGGTCTTACTATTAGTAATAACATTTTATATGAAAAAACTAGAACATTTGTACAGGCTTTAGATATTTCAGAAAAATCATTATCATTATCTAATAGTTGACTAATGGATTTTAAACAGAGAAATAATTTATGTTCTTTATTTTACATGATAAAACTAACAATACATTATTAGAAATTTTATCTTAACAATGAAAAATTATTCAAGAATTATCACAGGTCGAAATCCATATTTCAGGCATATATCAGGGACCAATTGGGTAGCTATCGGGGGGACCAATAGATATCTGATAAGTGCCCGATAGGTATCCGATAGGTGTAATATAAATATGTCAGGGATCTATCAGTCACCTTATAAAATCGGGTGCCCGATATATTTTTTAATTTTTTTTAAAAAATTTTTATATCCCCGATATGTGTATTAAATATAACTGAATGTAATATTTATCAGGTTACCCAATATGTGTAAATAATATCGAGTAGCCGATAATTGACAAATTTTAAATATTTTGTTTATATTTAAAAGATCTAAAATTTATTTATTAAAGTAGATCTG